AAATACTCTGTTACAACAGTTGAAAAATCAGTAGCACAACTGAACGGATACGTACATACCATCTTTTAGTCACATCACACATTTTCTTTAAGACACTAAAATTTAGAGAAGTGTTTAAAAGTGACACAAAGCATAAAATAATGCCACACAATTGCTAACAGATTTCTGATGTTAAAAATATGAAACAGATCTTTAAAGTGTCGTGAACAAACAACAAACTGACACCTTTCTCTCTGGATATTTCTGAATGGGTCACATATTTTAAAATGGATGGTTTCTGCATGATTGTGCTGAGCATAAAGAAAGAAAACTAAAAAAAATTGACTGCAAAAACAAAAACATAAAATTAATTGACTGGTGGGCTAATTAGTCCACAACTTAATCAACACTTGAATGATTACAGCAAGTTAGGAAAAGTAACAAAAAAACATCAACAAAAACACTTAGTACTTGGTACAGAAAGATATATACCACCGAGAAAAGGTGTCATAATTGATACATAAAGCAAGCTTTTCCTGAATTTTACAATGAAAACAACTTGAACCAATGAAAGTTTAAAATCTATACCAATTCAAACTCTAAAGAAAACAAAGAAAAATGACACAGTACATATCCTTATCTCACTCCACATTGCAACAAACACTCTTCAGCATATCAAAAAGAATGAACAAACAGTGAATCATAATGTATGTTTACAGAGCCGTGCTAAATACACAAAATATGTGTAAGGTAAAGGGTGAGAACAAAGTACAATTAAACTACATTTGAACAAATGGCATACTACACAAAATTAAAAGTTTCCTGCAATATCAATTTCAAGACGCGTCTACAATTAAAATCAAGAATGACTAGATATACTACACATCAATGTGGGTATTGCACTGGAACTGGATCATTTTTTTAAACACAGGCAGTTTATATTGTGCATAATCTACAATTTTAAAAAGACACATTTGCCTTCAATCTTTGGTCACAAGTACAGGGAAACAAATCTGCAGTAATCAAAAATCACAGTTGCTCAAAAAGCAAACCCTAGTTATAAGCGAGGGAGAAAATGAGATATTAATAATAAACAATGCTCCTCGGAGCTTTCACAAAAAATATGTGAAGTATCACAGCATAGGGGTGAGCATTACAATCTGGCAGAGCCAGAGATAGACACCTGCAACATTTAATTATTATTAATAATCAATAGCAAATACTTCCAAGCTAGATAGATATGAGCATCCTAATTGGAACTTACATGATTTTCATCCTACTCCAAATCTCTCAGGTTAATAGTTGATGGGGCAAAGCTGGAGTCCATGTTAAGAATGCCATCTTCAGAGCTATACAGGTCAGTTGAAGCAGTCAGTTCATCCTATTAAGAGAAAATTGGCAGATTAAAATATATGTAAAATTGTGATAAAATTTTTGAAGTTTAAACGAGATAAAGAACTTACGGGCATTAACAGGTGTGCTATGCTATCATGACCAGATCCCAAGTAACCTCCTCCAAGAACAACATCTAGTGGTGCTCTAGAGTTAGATAGACCTGCAAGTACAGCAACTTTTGTTTAAGATAGCTCATGTTAAACACTTTGCACACTATCTTTTCATAAACTCATCAAGCATTACCTTCTTGAGGCCCCTGTTTTGAAGATTTCGGGAGAGATTGATCAACTTCAGCAACTTGAATACGTTTCTTATGTTTTTGAATAAGTTGTGGTTGTCTCCTTAGCTGCCTTGAATTTTTAATAGGAAGAGCACTACACTGTCTAACTTTCTTGAACTTAGCCCAACTATTGATAGTTATGGAACTGCGAGCTGAATCAGGATTTAAAACCTGAGTGATGTCCTGAAAATAGGCGCATATAAAAGTTGTTTAGAATAAGGTGAATAGCAGTACACACATTTCACAGGTTTATCTTAATATAATATTGCTCTTACATCATCTTCCTTTTGATCATCAGCCGGCTGTCCTGCCTATAAATAAAAAAGTAGTTACATTAGCTTTACAGCATGAATTTCACATAAAATTGATGGGTGCATTTTAAAGCAGTGACTAGCACACAGTAATAAACTAAATAATTCAGAGCAAATATAGAAAGGCTGACCTCTGAATCGTCGGTGCATATTAAGACCTGGCAATACTTGTCACTGGCTTCATCTACAGAGAAGGTGAATAAAATGAGTTTATAAGACAAAGAGCAGTCAATCAGAAAATGTAAAAGAAAAAACAAATAAGGGAATACTCACTTGTATCAGTAATATAGCTGGGCAATTGATTCAGAACATTGGAAGAGTTCTCTAGAACAACAGTGGATAGGGGTGTATTAGTAGATCCTGTAACCAAATTAAAATGTACTTATGTGGCCAGTGGCCAAGTTGTGGGTTTCTTCTCCTGAAAAGCTAGAGCAATATTCTTGAAGAGACTTACTGAGTGTAGCTGGGTTATGATCAAATGAAACATGATCCATCCCAGCCAGCTCTGCAACTAGAGCTTCGTCTTCTGACAGCAGAGGAATGAAGTCTAATGTTTGAGTTGCCTCAGATATTTCTGAAATTATTAGAGAAAAATCAGAAATTATATGTATAAAATCACATTGAAATCATAAAATAGTCAACATTTAACAAAAATTGGACATAGATTTCTACTACAATATTCACCTGTTTGTACCACATTCTCACAAGGCAAGCTTTGTACTGCTAGTTGGTCCTCAATATGTAACTCAGATATAGTGCAGACATTACTTGTTTCAGATTCACTTCCAATTTTACGAGTGCTTTGAATAACATGCACAGGAATAGAAGTAATGGCATCTGAGAGTGATTCAGATGAGAGAGCATGGACTTTTGCTCTATGTTTTTTGGAATGAACATACAAACTGCTTTTGGCAGAAAACTTCATGTTGCAATCTACAGAGAATATTTAAAAACAAAGCAAACAAAATTTAGTTCTTATAAAGATTGACAACTACAAATGTACATATTTAAAACTTATTAAGAGGTACTGACTTGGATGAGGACACTGAAAAGTTCTCTCCGCAGAATGAGTGAGAGCATGCTCTTTAAGATGCTCTGAACGCATGAACCACTTTCCACAGCCATCAATTTGACATTGAAAATTGCGTACATTTGTATGTTTAAATTGATGGCGTCTTAGCTTACTTGAACTAGTAAATGCCCAGCTGCACCCCTGTAAGGTGCACACATATTAGTATGTAGACAAAAATAAAAATAAATTATGAATGACATGAAGTAGCGTGAAATAGTTAAAGAATTCACTAACATGATGTGTACATAGATATGGTTTATCTCCTGTGTGAGTTCGCATATGAGCCTTAAGTCGGCAGGGTTTGGTGAAAATTTTGGAGCAGCCTGACCATTGGCATTTGATTTCATCATCTTTGTGCTGGTGGCTTCTGATGTGCGAATTTACTGAATTTACAGTATAATAACGCTTTTGGCAAGATGTGTACGGGCATCTGAAAAATTGCAATACTTGTATTAAGTGGTAGAAAAAGTTAAGTGTTTACACAGTTTGTTCAAAGTAGAAGAGAATGTACTTACACATAGGGAGCATGATCAGTACCATGCTCTTTTAAATGAAATTCTAAACTCCTCCGAGTTTGGAACAATTCTGAACAATCTTTGACAGGGCATCTAATCTCAGCTGGTCTTTTATGAAGTTTCTGGTGTGTTCTTAAGTTATAAATTGTGGTAAATGATCGTCCACATTCACCAAAAGAACACTGTAAGGACATTAGAAATTTTAACTAAGAAAGCATGCTAAGAAAATATGAATAGTAGAATCAGCTTTTACAAATTGGTACCTTATAATCCTTTCTCTGAAGGTGAGTCTCTTTGTGTCTCTTTAATTTGAAATGGGTGTAGAAAGCCCACTGGCAATTAGGGAAGTCACACTGAAAAAGAAGAAAAATGATAAGTGAAAATACAATACAGAATAAAACAAGTTCCTGCATTCTCTATGCTATACCTTGTATGGGCGAACTCCATAATGGCCCAAAATATGAACTTTCAATTGATTAAGAATAGGAAACAACTTTTTACAACCCTTTTCAGGGCAAATCCACATTCTCTGATCTTCAGCTCTATTCTGTACCCATCCCAATGTTGGTACTCCGAGCCTTTGAAGGGCATCAGTAACAGGTTGGTCAAGAAATTCATCATCTTCTAAAGAAGGACTGTCACTATTTTGATTTGCTTCATACGACCACAAATTGGGTGTAGCATTAATAAGTTCACTAGTCTTTCCTTTGAACAGTTGGTCACCTTTAGTAGTGCTTACAACAATTTCTGTCAGATCTTTGGTCTTGTCAGATGATATAGCAACAACAGCCAGTGATTTAGACTTTCCTGTGTTTCCCTTAGAACTTTTCCCTCCAGAGTTTTTCACAGCTTTTAGATTTGAATTAATCTGTTTAGGACTTGGTTTAATTAATGAGCTAAAGTGCTCTTCTTGCAAAACTTGCTTACTAAGAACCTTGGGCTTAATAAGTGCGTGCTTAGTCACTTTTTTAGCGACAGAATTTTTCAGGACACTACGTGAATTAGTAGTCATGCTTGCTGGTTGGGAAATGACATTTCCCATGCCTTTCAGTCCAGACAGTTCAAATAAAGGTGAAAGCTGGTTATTAGACAGAACAAGTTGGGTTCCATTAGAAGTCTGACACTGATTGAGATCTGCAGAGGCACCACTTGGTACTGCAATTGAGATGACACTTGGACGATCTTGAGACTGTGCTTCAGAGGATCTGGTAGATTTATCCTTCTGGATGACAGCGGTGGCCGGAGGAGCAGCATCAATAAAAACCACATTATTTTCAATTTCAACAGGCACTAAATGAGTATTAACTGGCTCCGGTTCTAATAGCGCATGAGTTCCAAGACCCACATCAGGTAAAGGATCATCTGAAATCCAAACACTTTCCATACCATCCACACCTAGAACTTCAACAGAACTTAACACATCGGTGTCATCTTTAAACACAATGTAGTCATCATGAGCACCATGTTGACCCTTCACCGAATATTTAAGGTCATTAGATGGAAAACCTCTAGAGCTGGAGAGTATTTCATGAATTTCTTGATCCTTGGAGAACATGATAACAGGAACGGAACTGATGTTTTTAACCTCACCAAAAGGCGCTTCATCGGATACTGAACTGAGCTTGCTATCTTCTGAGTTGGCTGACATAAAAACTACATCCTTGCACAAAATTTGATTAAGACTCTCAAGGTCTATCTCTTGATGTCTCATGACAGTTCCAAAATCATTGTTGGCATTAGTATCTGATGTACTCCTACTATGCAAGATTGTTTCACCATCAAGATCTTGAGCTATTTCGGTGATACGAATTTCCAGCAGATCTTTGGAGCCATCGCTAGTAGTTCCTAAAACGGTTCCATTTTTGCACAAATTGTGGAAGCGGTTTTCAGCTGATGTCTTGAATGGCAATATGTAAAGTTCGCTGCTAGCGTCAAGAGCCATTACTGCGTTTATTATTACTTTCGCCTCGGTCAGTAATTACATCTCAAAGGTCGAGATAACGCTACCAACAAGCACAATGCTTGTTTGCCTTTAACTCTTCTAGAAATCCACATGAGACAAGTAATCCGAAAGAGATAACACGTAAAAAAGTAGACATTTCACATAACCATTGTAAAGATTCAGGGTATAGAATCACCGACCATGCCACTTTTGTTTTTATTGGGATGTTGTGTGTTGTTTTTGTTGTTTGTGAAAGGTGATCTGTTCTCGGAATCCTGGAATCCTTCCCGAAGTCACGTAACACAGTTGCGCTGCAGTGAGGCTATTTCCCACCGACTTTGATAACCAAATGATAGGTTTGTTTGCATTACAAATATTTTTGATGTGATGGGAAGTGGGGGTATCATATTACAGCACCACTCAATATCCCTAAGATATCCGATGCGGTTGGCCTAAAATGAAATTATTTGATCTTTTGTATTCTTTTTCATACTGACTGACAGTTGAATATGGAAGAACCATAATTTCAATGTGAATAAAAGTCTTGAAATGCTCATGAGCGTTTGTAAACAGTTTTGAATTTGAAGTTGAAATGTTCGTTTTGGATGTTAGGTTATATTTAATGTGTTTATCTTTGATTGTTGGTAAATAGCAAGTGAGTTTCCTTAGTTTCTAACTTTTTCTTTTTTATTTGCTATTCCTCTCACAACTTGCTTTTGTTGAATGAGGCAACGCGACGTCATTTGGTTTCAGTTGTTCGTTGGATCTGACTTTGTTATTTATTTTATTGAAGTGCTATCTTTTTGACAGGATTGTTCGCTTGAATATGGATTCTAAATCGGGAAAGTCGCAGGCTAGGCGACAGCATCAAGATCCAGATCAGGTGTCATCACGACGCCCGAATCGTCTCTTCCTCAGTGAGACAATACCTCCACCAACCCATCATCAGCCACAATCAAACCAAAATCGAAGTCACAATCTCTCGGATCGAATTCACGAATACTATGAAAAGCTTGTCAAGACCTCACATTTAAAGAAAGCAGACAACACTGCTGCCAGTCATCAGTTTCCTCCAAGTAACTTTCAGAACAGATTTGACGCTGCTCCTAAATTTGGAGAGTCACTTCACCCTCCTGTCCCAGTTCGCTCAGCACTGCAACCAGCCAACAGCAATACAAGACAGTCATATACAGTCTTTGTCGAAGATCCAACAGGTGCTTTTCAACAGTATGTTAAAAAGAAGCCTTCAAGTGACGTAAATGAGCCATCCTACATTGACAGTAGCCTTCATAAGGCTGATGTATCTTCTGTAACATCAAATTTGAGAGGTCTGATGGATAGGAAAAAGTCTCCGTCTACCAGCAGCAGAGGACAATGCAGCTTATGCCACAGCTCTAACCACTCCACTCAAAATTGTACGCTCCAAAGCAGAGTGCCTGCTGAGCATGATGGTTACCCTACAGACCCTGTTCATATTGCCAACTCACCTCCTACTCGCCACTCCAATCTGGGAAATGAAAATCAGGGTGATGGGTCAGAAGAGAGAAACACATCTGCTGTTTCGTTTCCCAAAAAACGCAATATTCCTGCCAATATTAATATCAGCTGTGAGAGGGATGTTATTGGACAAGAAAAGTCACCTGTATCGAAGTCTCATCCTACAAGCTCAACAGCTTTGAGCACTTCCAGCAGTAATGGTGACACTGTGCCAAGAGAGAGAAAGAAATGGGTGCGTCCTCCACTTGTAGGGCAAGCTGCATCATCCTCAGAGAAGTCTCCTTTTATGAGCCCTGCTGTCTTTGATTGCCTCGATGATCACAATCCTTCTTTGGATCGAAGGAAGCAGACTTCAAACGAGTTACAGCTATCTAGCAGCACTGGTTCAGATCAACCTGATTCTAGAGATCCTACGAAAGGTTTCTCTCATCAGAAAAGCTCATATTTTGATTCAAGTAACAAATCAACCAGTGGCCTTTTGCAAGGGGACGACTTTTACAGTTGCGTTGACCGAGATACATCATCAGCTGCAGTTGCTCAACAGCTTACATCAGAAGGAGAGCAAGGTCTATCAGATAGCTATGCTGGCGGAAGAGTTTCTCCATCTTCAAGTGTCACCTCTAATCGTCGATTAGAATGGGATAGTGGAGCTGATGTTGGTTACAACCAGATGTATGGATCTGCCACTCCTGATGCATCTTCTTCTGGTCTGTGCACAATTGAAAGAATGGCCCTCGCACAAGGTTGTTCTGTTGCTTTGCATTTAAGACTTGATCCTGAAGGTACCACTGTCCCTGCTTCATCATCTGGTCTTCCAGCGCCTGTCCTCCCATCTCCAGCACAAGACAAACAATTACGAAACCTTTTAGGAAAACCTACTGCAGAATCAACACCAGTAGATCAATTACCACACGTAGTGAAGGCACTTCGCAAATACCGTCATGATGTTAAAACTATGGTCTCTCCAATTTTTCAAGACAGCAAGAAAGATGATGCAGAACAGCAAAACCTAAGCAATCCGTATGCGCAAGATTGCGAAGATAAAATAGATCAGCCAAAGTCAGATGAACAGAAGTCTAAAGATTCAGATACTGCTGGATCTTCGCCCACTCCCTTTCATAGGCAGTTAAGTAATTCAATGCAAGACCTTAGAGAGTGTGTTATCATAGAATCAGAGATGCAAAAAAGTCAAAGTGACCCAGATGTTTCTGGAGAGGCACCCATTTCTGCATCAAGGCCTGATCATTCTAAATTATTGAAAGAAATCTCTAGAGGTCGCAATATAGCTGATACCTTAGTGGCTACTCACTCTATTTCTTCAGGATCTGATGCCACTTTAGTTCGAGTGGGAACAGAAGAGGATCTTGCTATTGATGTTAGGGAAAATGAGGCTGAGTCAAACCCTCAGCAAATTAGTAAGATTGCCACGGAGATTTTGGTTGGATCTGTTAGACCTGACACACCCACCAGTTTTACAAAACAACCAAGTCAGTCTAAGGAAGAATCTACCCAGTCAGATCATGTACAAACTGACCAGGGGAAGTTTTTCAAGTCAAAGTCATGTTATAACAGAGAATCTGTTGTTTCCAAACCCGAACAGAACAAGTCATCTGGGAATATGCATGTATGTAGTGACTCTGATCACGTTAGAGGATTGCATCACCACTTTGGTGTTTTATGCTCAACAGTTTTAGGGGGTCATATTCAGTCTTCTGTTCAACCTAACACTGGATCTCAGCCTGAAAACATTATTCATGGCCCAGACAGGGTTTATGTGCCAAGTGGAAATCAGTGTAACGAGGAAACCATCCAATCACCACATCCACAGATCTCTGAATTTCTTGCTGGAGAGAGCACAGGTAGCAGTGCTTTCCACTCTGATGTGCCGCAAGAAGAAAATGTACCTTGTGCCAGTACACTTACTGGGAGAGCCAATAGTTTTGAATATTTACCAGGTAATATTTAAATACATACTACCAGATTTTCTGGTAACACTTTAATGGTGAAGATTTTTATTTTACACGCTTTGTTGTAGGTCATATGTATGAGAAGAAGTCCTCTTTAGGATTAAGAAAACAGGAAAGACCACCAGGTATTTCTACATCCACCGAGACAGACTCAGAGCCTGTGCGTCCATTAAGCCGAGCTGCTCATCGTAAGGTTTGTATCAACAAGCTGTAAAAAGCTGCTGAAGAAAACACAATCCACCCCTGGATTGTTTTACTTTCTGCTATTGTATTTCATACTTTGTTAAGTTAATATAGAAATTAACCTTGAGCAGATGATGGATTCCAGCAGTCATGACACTGAAGATGAGCGTCTGTGGGGTTCCCCACGCGTTGGTTCTAACACCTTAGTTCAAGACTTGGAGAGAGGTGTGAATTTGTTGAAGGGTGTTATGGAGAACAAGTCTGCCGGTCGTCGTTGCAAACGAGAACTAGTACGCAGAATAATTAAGAAGTTGGTGTCATCAGAGTATGTTGAAGACATGATTGAAAAAGAAAGAACTCGCCATCAAACCCACAGTCCATTTTCTCCCAGGGTAATTTCTTAATTGTTCACAAAGTTTTGTTTTTTCCTGTGTAGTCCCAATTAGTATTTTAATTTATTGAATTCTGTTTCAGAAAACGAAGTATCAGGAGAGGCAGGACAGAAACATCCGTTCTAAGAGGTATGTTGGTATAGAGAGGCAAGATATTTCTGGTGAATCAGACGAGCCTAAACGAGCTCATAATGTTAGAAGGAAACTCCCAACCTACCAGTCAACACATCACTCTCAAGGACCACGAACACTCAGCACCTTAGCGAGTGGTATGTTTCATCAGTATTGGAGTCTGAATGTTCTTTCTTTATATCTACAGAGTAATAATGGAAGAAAATTCCAGATACTACCATTTTTTAATATTACTTTGCAGGAAGTAAATCATCTAGTCTTTGGAGCTCCAATGCAGATAGCACCAGTGGCAGCATATCTCTAAGTGGTTCATCAGAAAATCAAAAAGAGTCCAAGACAAGTGTGAAAACAAACCCTCTCTATGATTATCAGCAAGAAAATTCTGCAGACTGGTTAAAGCCTACTACGCAATCAGAAAAACTTTTTGAGATGCGAAAGAGTGGTTAGAACTAAATGACTTACAGAAACCCTTGTATGTCAAATACATTTTTAATAATATACTTAATCTACTTTTATT